ACAAAGAAGATGGTCGAAAAGACACCTCATGAGGCTGGACAGGGTCAAAGCCAGATGTAAGTCATCTTAGAATTTTGGAATAAATGTGTTTCAGGCTTGTACCTGAACAATTGAGAAAGAAGCTGGATGGTCGAAGTGAAGTCATGGTGCTCATAGGTTACCATTCAACTGGTGCATACAAGTTGTATTCATCAATTAAAGATAAACTAGTGATTAATAGAGATGTTCTTATAGACAAAAGCAAAGGATGGGATTGGAGTCAAAGTTCAGTTCGACATGAATCAAACACACTCATAACTATGTTTGAAGAAGATGAACAAAACGAAGCTTCGACAAGTCAAAATGAAGAACCACCTATGCAAAATGAAAGAAGATCCACAAGAACAAGAACTGAGTCGACAAGGCCGATTGGATATGAGAGGTTTCCAGATCAAGCAATCGATGCAAATGGTGACTTAATCGAAAAAGCCATGAAGATGGCTAAAGAAGAACTAATTGATTTGGGTGAAGCCTTGAGCAATTCTAATTGGTGTGAAGCCATGAAAGAAGAACTTAGAGACATTGAGAAGAACAATACTTGGGAGCTTGTCGAAATAACCAACAATAAACTAATTGATGTGAAATGGATCTACAAAGTGAAACGAAGATCAAATGGAGAGATTGAAAAGTATAAGGCAAGACTGGTGGCCATAAGTTTTCTACAAAAATCTGGTATTGACTTCAATGAAGTATATGCACTTGTTGCTAGGATCGAAACAATCAGGATTGTTATTTCGATAGCTGCATGTAGAGGATGGAAAATTCACCAACTTGATTGAAGTCAGCATTTTTGAATGGTCCATTGGAAGAAGAAGTCTATGTTACTCAACCACTAGGTTTCGACGTCAAAGAACAGGAGTCAAAAGTTTACAGATTAAAGAAGGCTCTTTATGACTTAAAGCAAGCTCCTAGAGCTTGGGATAAAAGGATAGATAACTTCCTAATCGAAGCATGTTTCACAAAGTGTGTCTCTGAACATGAAGTGTATGTAAATGATGTCGAAAGTATTAATCAAATCATTTTATGCCTCTATGTTGATGACTTACTCATTACAGGAGCAAACGAAGCTGAGATAATGAAGGTAAAGTCAAGGTTAATGCAGGAATTCGAAATGTCTGATTTAGGAAATCTCTCATATTTTATGGGAATGGAATTCAAAGACATCGAAGAAGGATTTTTCTTGCATCAAACGAAGTATGTTCAAGATATACTGAAGAGGTTCAATATGAGCAACTGTAAGGCAGCTGTTACTCCATTAGAGACTGGAGCAAAGCTGAAGAAGGAATCAAATGATGAGTTTGTAAGTTCGACCCTTTACAAACAAATCATTGAATCCTTGAGGTATCTTTGCAATACTAGACCAAATATTTGCCAAAGTGTAGGATTGTTGAGCAGATTTATGGAGAAGCCTCAAAAATGTCATCTCATTGTAGTAAAGAGAGTGTTGAGATACATAAAGAAAACTATTGATCAGTGTGTTGTTACCAAAGAAGTCGAAGAACAACACAAATGTTGAAGTTCATGGATACACTGACTTAGACTTCAGTGGAGATCAAGACGAAAGGAAGAGTACTGCAAGCTACATTTTCATGATCGAAGGAGCTACATTTTCATGATCGAAGGAGCTCCAATCTCCTGGAGTTCGAGGAAGCAAAGCATTGCGGCTTTGTCATCATGTGAAATAGAATATGTGGCTGCATCATATGTTGCATGCCAAGCAGCATGGATCAAAATGCTACTTGAAGAGCTCAGAATAACGAAATCGAAGATGAAGCTGTTTGTTGATAACGGGTCAGCTATAAACCTTTCGAATCACCCAATGTGTCATGGTCGAATTAAGCACATTGAAAGAAGGTATCATTTTCTGAGGGATCAAGTCAACAAAGAGAAGCTTGAAATAAAACATTGCAAGACAGAAGTGCAACTAGCTGACATATTCACCAAACCTCTGAAGAAAGTAAGGTTCGAAGAGTTAAAGAAATGCATTGGAATGAGAAGTCTTGATAACATGAATTAGGGGATGTGTTAGTTGGTTAATTCTTGTTATGTAGTTATTTGGACTTTTAGCATGTAATTGGGTCTGGACATTTTTGCCTATATAAAGTTAGATAGTTAGTTACACATAACTAACTCATCATTTTCTATCTCTCTTCTTCTTCTTCTTGTTTTCACAAAATCATCTTTCTTGAATCCTTTGTTCCAACACATTTCATTAGCTCTAAAAAAAAAAAAATCTTAGAGGAGGTCACTCGAATTAGGTACGATAATATTGGGAGAGTGTCCGAAGTATTGATAGTCGATCCATAAAAATTTTGGTTAAAAATTCATGACTTGCCTCATTTAACAAACGACATGTGAGGTGTCCCAAGAAATAACAGTCTGAAAGTAGCAGTCAAGAAATTCAGTCTTCCACTACTCCCAAGTTACTCGTTAGGGTGTGGAAAAAACTGTTTTTGGGTCCCAAGGGTCTTTATAACCTAACCTTAAAGTTGAGAAAATAGATCATTCACTAACTTCAAAAACCTTAAAATTTATTTACGGACAAAAAAAAATATATAACTTTTATATAAAAGTTACATTGAATCGCACGTCACCTTTTGACAAAACAAGAAGTGCGACCAAACTAGTCAAACTCAAGATTGAAAAGAACTTAGCAATGGATGCAAAAAGTAAGAACTTAGAATCATCACTTACAGTTCCAAGTGTTCAAGAATTATCACTTAAAAATCCACATGAAGTGCCACAAAGATACGTAAGAGATGATGGTGATGATGATTTTTGCACTTCTCCTACTTCTGATCCATTTCTTTCAATACCCTTGATTGATAAAGCAATGTTGGTCAACGCAGATACACAACGAGATGAACTTCATAAGCTTCACCTTGCTTGTAAAGACTGGGGTGTTTTTCAGGTACTGCAAATTAACAACTTATCAATTTTATGTTAGCTTGCAATTGGTGTTGATGTGTCAATGTCGATGTCGTGTTTTCAGTATCCGTGCTTTATATATTTTATTTTGTTCCGTTTTTTACATGATCTTCTGATTTTTGTGCAGATGGTAAATCATGGAGTGTCATCTGTTAATAATATGGGGAATGAAGTAAAGAGATTTTTTGAACTTCCTTTACAAGAGAAAAAAAGATGGGCACAGAAACCAGCCAGTCTTGAAGGGTATGGTCAAGCATTTGTTACATCTCAAGAACAAAAGCTTGATTGGAATGACATGATCTTCCTCAAATCTTTACCTATTCAAAACAGAAATTTGGATTTGTGGCCTCAAAATCCTCCTCAGTTCAGGTATATACATAATATCATTGAATGTCTGAATTGAACAACATGTTTAGTATCTGTGTGTAGTACTTCAACTTCAGATTAAAAGCGTGTTCGGTGTTCCACTCGTGCGGGTGTCAGACACTGACACATGCATTTGCTTTCAGTCACATCTTATGTAGCAATGACACTTCATATTGAAGGTGTGTCCGGTGTCCTCCAATAAATGCGAGGCTTGATATGTGTCGGCCTTCGATACTCACACCAGTGGTTACTAGTGTCGGCATATCGGTGTCATATTCGGTATCCTTTAATGTATCATTGCGTCATATATTAGTTATATTGTCTCAAGCTTTTAGCAGTGTCTTCGTGTTAGTGTCTTCATATCGAAGGCGTGTCTCGTGTCCAACAACCGTGAGGCTTGATATGTGTCAGCCTTCGACACTGAGGTTACTAGTGTCAGCGTGCCAATGTCATATTCGGTATCCTTGACAGCGCCATAGACCAATTATATTGTCTCAAACTATTATCGGTATCTACGTGTTAGAGTCTTCGTATCGAAGACGTCTTTGCTAATAGCATATTTGTTTAAAGCAAGAGATTCCATTGCAAAACTTTCATGATGATATTTTAGTTATATTTGTAAGGGTCTTCTTTTGCAATATATTATCAGGGAAACATTAGAAAAATATTCTGAAGATATGAGGGAGGAAGCAATATCAATAATGAGTTTCATTACATTGGCTTTAGGGCTTGAGGATACAAAGATATCAGAAAGTTTTCATGAAGGACTATATGATATAAGGATGAATTGTTATCCACCTTGTCCAGAGCCTGAAAGAGTTCTTGGAATTGTTCCTCATGCCGATAATTCTGCAATCACTCTCTTGGTTGATTTTGGAGATTTTCCAGGACTGCAGTTTCTCAAAGATGTAAAATGGGTCAGTGTTGAACCAATAGAAGGTGCCATTGTTGCTAACATTGGCCATATAATTGAGGTTTGTATATTTTTGGACTCATAAGGCTTCAAATTATTCCTCAAATAGTGATTCATTGCAAGTTCGATGATGCATGTTCTTCGATTATGCAGGTTATGACAAACGGGATATACAAAGCACCAGAGCATCGGGCCGTCGTGAATAAGGAGAAGGAAAGATTGTCAATAGTGACATTCTGCTATCCAAGTCCTTCTATAGATATTGGACCTGTTGAAAAGTTAACCGATGAAGATAACGGACAAGTATACAAGAACATGACACATGCAGAATACTTCAACAGGTTTTTCAATAGGAAGCTTGATCAATCCTTTATTGATAGTTTGAGACTATGATGACAAAATGATGTTGTTTAATTGTACAACTCTTCCTTTATTTTGAATAAAAGTTCCTGCAAAGTCATAGGTGAAGTAACTTCTTCCAGGTGTCAAGTTCACATGCATTAATTTTCAATGTAGATAGGTTGGTTAACCAACAATATAGTTCTTATTAAGTTGTGTTTTATGGGATACTGTATAGGTAAGAAGTTGAACTAACAATTACTTAATACGTACACAATCTCATCTATAAAAGCCGCACATATAACACATGCAGAATACACTACAAACAATATCAAAATCATTAGCGTTGCAAAGATTTCTAACTGCTATAATATATCTTCCTAGAGTTCTTCTCATCAGTTAGATCAAATTAATCATGGCTTTCATTAGTTTGTCAACAATCATTTTTCCATTTATGGTTCTAGCTATTTTGTCAGCAAAAAGTAGTATAATGATTGTCGAGGCACGCAAACTTCTAGAGTCAGGTATGCCTCAGCTCCCAAAATTTGATTTGCCACCTCTACCAAATCTTGAGCTGCCTAAAGTTCCTGAATTGCCTAAGCCAGAAATTCCTAAAGTAACTGAGTTACCAAAACCCGAGCTGCCTAAGGTTCCTGAATTACCTAAGGCAGAAATTCCTAAAATACCTGAGTTACCAAAGTCCGAGTTGCCTAAGGTTCCTGAATTACCTAAGTCAGAAATTCCTAAACTATCTGAGTTACCAAAGTCCGAGCTGCCTAAGGTTCCTGAATTACCTAAGCCAGAAATTCCTAAACTACCTGAGTTACCAAAGTCCGAGCTGCCTAAGGTTTCTGAATTACCTAAGTCAGAAATTCCTAAACTACCTGAGTTACCAAAGTCCGAGCTGCCTAAGGTTCCTGAATTACCTAAGCCAGAAATTCCTAAAGTACCTGAGTTACCAAAGTCCGAGCTGCCTAAGGTTCCTGAATTACCTAAGCCAGAAGTTCCTAAAGTACCTGAGTTACCAAAGTCCGAGCTGCCTAAGGATCCTGAATTACCTAAGCCAGAAGTTCCTAAAATATCTGAGTTGCCAAAGTCCGAGCTGCCTAAGGTTCCAGAATTGCCTAAGCCAGAAATTCCTAAAATACCCGAGTTGCCAAAGTCCGAGTTGCCTAAAGTTCCTGAATTACCTAAGCCAGAAATTCCTAAAGCCTCTGAGTTGCCAAAGCCCGAGTTGCCTAAAGTTTCTGAATTACCTAAGCCGGAAATTCCTAAAGTCCCTGAGTTATCAAAGTTCGAGTTGCCTAAAGTTTCTGAATTATCTAAACCTGATATTCCTAAAGTACCCGAATTACCAAAATTCGAGATGCCTAAGATTCCTGAATTACCTAAATTTAATGTACCTGAATTGCCAAAAATCGAACTACCTAAAGTTCAAGAACTGCCTAAAATTCCTGATTTTCCTAAACCTGAACTACCCAAAGTCAATATCCCATAACTACCCAAACCTGAGCTACCTAAAATCCCTGAAATGCCTAAAGTTGTTCCAACCACTACTCCATAAGTTTGAACTAATTATTTCATTTGGACTGTCTCAAGTCAAATATAGTTTTCTACTCTATAGTGCTTAGCTCATGTTGTATGGGTGTGATATAATTTATACAATTTTTATTCGGTCTTATATGTGTAAACTACAGTCATAGTGGAGGTGATTGTTATGGTTCAGTTTGAATCTTATTAGATTACATATTACTTTTAGTTTGAGTTTGTTTAAATCGATTGTACTCGATTGTAGTAGTGGTTATTGATGATCATGTTCTTCATATATATGTGTCGTTGAATTTAACAAGATTGTACTCTTTGTGAAGAAATTTCCTTAACTGAAAATCAGCATAAACACAATGACTAATATATGTCAAGAAAACATGTACCATTTTCATAGCATGATCCACAAGAGAAAAAGAAAACACTGAACCACGTGAAAATAAACATAGGGTGTGTTTGAGTTGACAGTGAACAGAATTGATTCTATTAGAATTGAGCGTGTGTTTGTTTACGCTTTTTTCCACTACCACCGTGCGTTTCCATGCATTTCCACCGTGGTTTTGAGAAGCTAAAAAGCGTAGCTTCTAGTAGACATGCTTTTTTTTTTTGTTTTTTCACCTTAATTTCAAACACGCGCTGAGTTTGGTATAATTAATTTTAACAGAATTGTAAGTTTAGTAGAATTGATTTACGTTAGGATATATTTATATAAAAGTGGAGTTGAATAATAAGTTGCAGTGTAAAAATAAAAATCATTCAAAATCAATTTTAGTGGTAGAAATTACAAATTTTAACTTCAAGTAGTATTAATTTTAGAGGCGGAATCAATTCTACTTTTGATAAAACAAACACTTAAAAATCATTCAAAATTAATTCTACATCTCTAAAATCGATTCTAATTCTTCCAAAAACCAATTCAAAGATGCTAATAATATATGTCAAGTTTCCAAACATTTTTACCTCTCCATATGAGATTTAAAAAGAAAATGTCAAGGTGCAAAACAGTATGATTATGATATATTATAAGAACGCTTTAATCAAGTACCTTGCATGCACTTGAAAATGTAAGGATGAGATGGGAAACTAATGCCAAGGTGAGGTGAAGCATTTACTCAAGCACCTTGAAGATGTGGATGTAGCAATTTGAGGAACTCAAGATTCTTTGTTTATGTTCATTCAGTAATTTAGGTGTCTGTTTTTAGTGTCTGTGTTTCATAGATTCTGACACAGCCAATTAGAAGGCGTGTGGTTAGTGAATAATGCATGGTGACTAGAAAATGAATGAATCAAGGCATAAATGTCAACTTAGTAGATTATCTATGCATTTTCTGTAATATTAAAGTGTACATATTTACCTGAATACTTTTACTATATTGTATATGATTGACACACCAGATAAATTCACATAGCTACATTGTTTTACATCTTAGAGAGGTGTATTAAGAATTATCTTGTATTTACATACTTGAACAATTTCTCATTGGTTTTAAGTTCAAATCAAACTCTAAGAATGTAGTTGTGTCTATTTCACCTAAAGGAATTTACTCTATTTATAGTACAATAATTGGATCAAACTTTATAACAATTTCATCTATAAAAGCTACACATATAACACATGTAGAATACATTACAAACCATATTAGCAGTGCAAAGAGCTTCAACTACTATACTATATCTCCCTGAAGTTCTTTTCACATGTTAGATCAAATTAATCGTGGCTTTCATCAATTTGTCAACAATCATTTTTCCTTTTATTATTCTAGCTATTCTGTCATTAAAAAGTAGTATAACCATTGTCGAGGCACGCAAACTTGTAGAGTCAGGCATGCCTCAGCTCCCAAATTTTGATTTGTCACCTCTACCAAAGTCTGAGTTTTCTAAGATTCCTAAATTACTTAAGTCAGAAATTTCTAAAATACCTGAATTACCAAAGGCTGAGCTGCTTAAGGTTCCTGAATTACCTAAGTTAAAAATTTCTAAAATACCTGAGTTATCAAAGGCCGAGCTGCCTAAGGCTCCTGAATTACCTAAGCTAGAAATTCCTAAAGTACCCGAGTTACCAAAGCCCGAGCTGCTTAAAGTTTCTGAATTACCTAAGTCAGAAATTTCTAAAGTATCTGAGTTATCAAAGTCTGAGCTGTCTAAGGTTCCTGAATTACCTAAGCCAGAGATTCTGAAAATTCTTGAATTACCTAAGCTAATAATTCCTAAAATGTCTGAATTATCAAAATCCGAGTTGCCTAAAGTACCTGAACTATCTAAGCAAGAAATTCCTAAATTACCTGAAATTCCAAAATCAGAGTTGCCTAAAGCACCTGAATTGAATGTTCCTAAACTGGCAAAATCTGAACTACCTAAAATTCTCAAACTACCAAAGCCCGAACTACCGAAGGTTGATATTCCAAAACTACCTGAACCTGAACTACCTAAGATATCTGAATTGCCAAAGCCAAAACTACCTAAATTTAGTGTACCTGAATTGCCGAAAATCGAGCTACCTAACGTTCCGGAATTGCCTAAAATTCCTGAATTTCCTAAACCTGAACTACCCAAGGTCAATATCCCAGAACTATCCAAACCTGAGCTACCTAAATTCCCTGAAATGCCTAAAGTTGTTCCAACCACTGCTCCATAAGTTTAAACTAACTATTTCATTCGCATTGTCTCAAATCATCTATGGGTGTCATATGATTTATACAATTTTTATTCAGTCTTATATGTGTAGAGTACAGTCATAGGGGAGTGAATGTTATTGTTCAGTTGGAAACTACTTGGATTTCATATTACTTTTAGCATGTGCTTGTTTATATCGATTGAACTACTGCTTGTTGATGGTGATATCCTTCATGTATGTGTTGCTGGATTAATAAGATTGTACTTTTAGTGAATAAACTTCCAAGATTTTCAAATTCTAATGTTGGTTAAGCTGACATTTTAATTTGTTTTATTCATTGAATTTAAAAGACAATCTCGAATTTCAGCTTCATAGTTTATGAGAAACTTCACCCTTTACCCATAAAAGAAAGAATTTGGTAGTTAATTTGAATCAAATCACATAATATGAATACCAATATCAACAATGGACAATCTGAAATGTAAGTCATAAATTTGAAAGGTGAGTCGTGCTTTGAATAAACATATATGGGAAAGTAGGAGGTTTCAGGTTTGATCATAAAAACAAACATAAACTTTCGACATATACAAAATGTAAACGAATATGATAACCCAAAATAAACTTTTGTCCAAGAAAACATGTACCATTTCATAGCATAATTCACAAGAGAAAAAGAAAACACCGAACCACATGAAAATAAACATAATATATGTCAAGTCTCCACGCATTTTTACCTCTCCACATGAGATTTAAAAAGAAAATGACAAGGTGCAAACATAGTATGATTATGATATAATATAAGAAAGAACGCTTTAGCTTTTCGCATAGTTAAAAACCAGCCCATCCAGCAGGTTGAGAATTCGACTTGCTCTCAAATCCCTTTGCCTCACCGAAACTATGAGCTTTACTTCCTTCGCCAGGTCTTGGCATCTGGGGGCTACCACTACCCGCACGAGCAGCACTAAATGTATCTGTACCAAAACCCCAAGAATCAAAATCAGAAGCTGGTTGAGTGACCTGCTTGATTTGCTGACCTTCTCTTGACCTAATGGATTTAGAAGCATTGTCTGCTGAAAGGGACTTCATCGATGGTTCAGTTTTCTCCGGGAAGGCTAACCATGACTTTAGTTCAGAACTAGGAGTTTTCCATTCACTTTTATCCTGCTGAAGATCCAACACCGTTGTTAACATACATAATTAAAACGTTGTGTCACAAACACAACATAAGCAAACTAGTAATGCAAATTAGTTAGGGGGAAAGAGGCTATAAAATGCTTATTACCAAAGATGCAGATGCTGCAACTCCAGGAGAGGTTCTGAAATTCTCTCTATTTGGAGATGGAGTTCTTGCTGCAAGTGCTTGCTTGAGGTCCTGTAATTCTTGCCTCTGTGAACGGCAGATAGCAGTAAGCTTTTCATACTTGGCAGTTATTTCAGATTTGTCTAAGTTAGCTTCCTTCAGCTGCTCTCTGAGTTTCTCCACCTCAGACTCTAATACTTCTTCCCTTGTGGATTTGTTACCATGCCCGGAGTTCAGCTTAGTGGTATCAAATTCTGCAACAAAAGTGTTAAAAGACTGGTCTTGGAAATTATTATTCTTCTCCAGATTTGACATATGCCTCTGACTTGCATGATCTTTATCTGGGAAAAAATTAATTTCGAAGTCCTTGGAAGATGCAATTTCAGGCTTGTGTAACTTTCCATGTACACTGCTTTTTACAGTCTGACTTTGTGTGTTAGCCACTTTGTTTGTACCAACATTTTTGGGTAACTGATCATTGTCTGGACGAACTCTGTCATGTTTCAGTGACACATGGTGGCTAGATCGATCTTCATCATATATAGCTTTGCCTTTTTCCTCAGGGACAAGTGAATCCTTTGCATGCATAGTGGACCAGAAAGCACCAAGCTGCCCCCCACATTCACCTCCCCTGGAAGGAGGAGATGTCTGAGGGGTAGTTTTAGGTTCTCCAACTGATGGAGGAGAAGGTGGATTTCTGCGAGGCACTGGACTTGATTTCTTTGTAGACATTGAAGCACCTGAAAAAATTTAGATACAAATCAATATTTCTGTATGATATCAGGTTAAAATAAAATATACAAATCTAATCTTCTACCAAGAGTTTTTTGCCCATAATTCACATAAGGGTAAAATTTAATGATATAAGCCTTCAGAAAATAAGAAAATAGACTTCTCAATCCTCATCTTATTCAAGTCATGCCTCACCTTCGTGATTGTTGGAAGAGGGCGATTCAGGTGGCCTGTCAGGTAATGACTTTTGTAAATCAACAGGCAGCTTTTCATTAACACGAAACCAAACCTGCCACATTGGAAGTATACCCAATATCAGTGATTAATTGCTCTAATTCTACTGCCTAAGAATGCTATGGACGGATGATCTATGACCAACCTAAATTGATGGAGATGAATGGCCAATCAAGCAAAGCGCTTGCCTGCGTGATATCTGGTCTGTCGTCTGGTCTAGCTTGAAGCATGTCTCTGATCAAGTCTGTGAGGGACGAGCTGAATTTAGGTAAATCAGGAATGCGGTAGTTTCCATTTAAGACTTGGAGCTTTGATTCCCCATCAAACGCACTTTTGAAGTAGCATATGCGAAAAAGGAGACACCCCAGTGCCTAACATATTCAAGAAGTAATATGATTTGTAAGTAAGCAGAGAAAGATTCCACAGAAGTAGTTAAACTAAAGATATGAGTTTCAGGCATATATGACTTACCCATATGTCTACTTTCTCATTAATAACTTCTTTGAGGAACAGGTCCCACATCTAAATGCACACAACCAAAATTTCTAATCATCTGCAATTGTATCACACATAACTACCAAAATATTTTTTATGGGCACAGATCACAGCATACCTCAGGAGCTCTGTAGGCGGGAGTTGTGTACTTTCTGATATTATCTTCCTCAATTCCCATTTCTTCTGGCTTCTCAAAACGTTTGTGATTTGTGGAAATGCTTCCAAAATCACACAACTTCCATAAACCATCTGAACCTAACAGAAGATTCTCTGCTTTCAAGTCTCTAAGGAACAAAAGGAAGAAAATTAATTTATTAAAGCTTCTAAAAGCCTTGTATAATCTCACATTAGATTGTCAAACTCTCAGAACAATGTCACTCAAAAAGAAAGAGAGCAGTCATAGATTTTGACACGTGTAATTTATTATCTAGTGTTGTTACCGGTGAGCAATAGGCAGAGACTGACAGTGCATGGCGAAAACTGCATTACACACATCCCTGAAGATTAAAAGAATCTGTCTCTCATCAAAATAACCAGCTCCTCGGCTCTCCAGCACAGTAACCAGAGATTTCTCACAAAACTCCATTACAAGGAATGCCTCTTTGGTTCTACCCATATCATAGATGGCATGAGCATGAAGTTTGACGACATTGGGATGTCCAATCAGCAACTTCATCACAGATATCTCCTTCTTCACCAATCCAAGTGATTCTTCATCGTTGCATATTATATGCTTCAAAGCATACTGTTTAGACATATGTACAGAATCGCGAGCCAAGTAGACACATGAGAAACCTCCTTCAGCAATGACCTTGTGGACATTTATTTTAAGATTTCCAACATCTATAGAACGGCCTTCAATACCACTTTGCTCTTTGTGGCTGAATGGCTTAAATTTCCACATCTTTTAGAAAAAAATAAACTAGCTTTCTGCATATGTAAATTAAAATATAAGACATAACCTCTTTATAATATTAGCAGAATTTCTGACAAGAGAATAACATTGCTTTCGAGCACATAACATCAAATAATTTTAACAACAAGCATACAACAATGTCTATTTACATGGAAATGGATTCCCTGCAGTAAGCAGTCAATCACAATTACAATTTGAATCCACTGAATTCGATTAGCTAGTTGACTGCAGTGACAAGAGACAATCCTGGACCATTTACATGCTGCTAAGTCTACTATTTGATCCCATTCTCCATTGATCTAACTTATCAACTCTTAATACACAAAGAAGGAAGCACCACTAAATTTCCAAACACTGCACGACCTAAATAACAAAGATGAACTCAAGCAAGAAACCATTTCACAACAGAAACAACACCCATTTTCCAAGTTCCTCCTTATTGTACATAAAACAATAGAGTTTATTTTGATACCCTACAACAAAACAACAACAACTAAGCCTTATCCTACTAAGTGGAGTCAACTACATGGATCAAGTATAATATTCTATCGAGGACCATGCTTTATCCAAATTGTTAATCTGGAGATCTTTCTTAATAACTTCTCTTATAGTTTTTCTAAGTCTTCCTCTACTTCTAACTATTTGACTCCTCTCCACCTGATCTACCTTCCTTACCACAAAATCTACATATCTTCTCTCTACATGCCCTATTCCTGTAAAAATTTTAGCATTTCCAAATCAAAACCAATCATACGAGTTCCTTTAGAAATAATTATAATTGACCTGGAACTTTTTTAATGATCTTACAATTTAGATTGATTAACAAAGTAAAAATTATTTACAGTAACAATGAATCCTAAACAATATAGATTTACAAAAATCATCAAGTTTCCCTAGATTATCAACATGAACATAACAAAGCCTTAATATATGAAACATCAACACCAGAAACACAACACCGACACAAACGTCGATGCCGGTAATAATTTTGAAAAAAATGAATAAATTAAACGTAATCACTAGTGTCGGTACACGACATTAATACAGGCACATTTTTTCAGAGGCTTTGGTGCAACAAATAGCATTATAACAACAGATATACCAAATCAATAACCATCAAAGTAGATCCAATACTAAAAAAGACGCAAAATCATCATTAGTTTCCAATCACCGCTCACATATTCAAACCCAAACGATCCAATAACAACAAAAACTGTAATCAACAACACAAAAAAAACTTACCTAGAAAAAATCGTTCAATCCGAAATTCAGCTCAAATCGAATCGAACACGTCCTCAATTACTCGATCTGTAACAATAGAAAAGCGAAAAACTCAAATCCACA